GTGCAGGCTAAAAGCATGGGAAATTGGTGCCGGCAAAAATCATAGAAAAATGGATTCATTAGAAAGATTTAATATGATATCAATCCTTTCAATCAATGGTTCACTGATTTGTTTGAAACAATGCATAGATGGTTACTGGGATTAGTCAAAGGGGCATTAAGGATTCTGTTCAATGTGGTGTCAATCATCATTACACATAGTATTGTGATAAATGTGGTTAAAGGGTTATTTGCAAAATGTTATCAAAGAGAGATTCTAGAATGAAATTTTAGAACAAAGCTTGGTAACAAAGATGAATTGTACCACTCATGCCCCAAAATGAGAATGTGTGCTGTTTGGTTTTGCTCTGTAATATGCCTGACTCTGTGGTTGAGCTGAGGGTGGCTGATGAGGAAGGAAAATGCAGAGGGTAGGGAACTGTTACAGGGAAAGTCTGCTCATATTGCACAGCTTAAATCTAATCGGTCTTGAAGCAGTACATTAATGACACGTAGTTAACTGGCAACCCACGATCCCTATATTCCGGATCATTATCAGGAATATTATCAGGAATAATATTATCAGAATAGTATCAGGAATATTTGGTATGGGAGGCAAGGTGGTAGGGGTCTACTACAGGTCTCCAGATCAGGAGGAGGAAGTCGATGAGGCCTTGTACGAGCAGCTGCTAGTAGCCTCACGATCACGAGCGCTGGTCCTCGTGGGGGACTTCAATTACCCAGACATCTGCTGGGTAAGCAACTCGGCCAGGCACGAGCAGTCCAAACAGTTCCTACAATGCGTTGAGGACAATTTTCTGACTCAGGTGGTGGAGGAGCCGACGAGGCGGGGGGTGCTCCTGGACCTCCTTCTTACTAACAGGGATGGCTTTGTTAGGGATGTGAAAGTTGGGGGCAGCTTGGGATGCAGCGACCATGAGACGGTAGAGTTCCAGAAGGGACTAGGCAAAGGAAGTAAGGCTAAAAGCAGGATCGCTACCCTGGACTTCTGAAGAGCCAACTTCAACCTCTTCCGGGACCTGCTTGGCAGTATCTCAAGGGATAGGTTGCTAGAAAGCAAGGGTGCTTGTGAGAGCTGGGCTACATTTAAGCAGCACTTCTTCCATGCTCAGGGTCTGTGCATCCCAAGGAATAGGAAATCGGGGAAGGGGGGCAGGAAATCCACATGGATAAGCAAGGAGCTCATCAATGAGATCAAAAAGAAGAGGAGGGTCTATGAAATGTGGAAAAAGGGCCTGTCCTCTTGGAAGGAGTATAGATGTGTTGTCAGGGCCTGCAGGGACGCGACGAGGAAGGCTAAAGCCCACCTAGAGATGAGACTTGCGAAAGAGATAAAGGATAATAAGAAGGGCTTTTTCAAGTATGTAACAGCAAGAGGAAACTAGGGATAAGGTGGGTCCCTTGCTGAATGAGGGGAGTGTCCTGGTCATGGGGGACGCTGAGAAGGCAGAGATACTGAATGCTTTCTTTGCTTCAGTCTTTGCTTCAAGGACACTCCCCCGGGACTCCTTGCCCCTGACAATAGGACAAATGGTCTGGGAAATGGAGGGCTCCCCCCGGTGGATGTGGGAGTGGTTCGGGTGTGTCTGAGTGGGCTCAACGCAGACAAGTCCATGGGTCCCAATGGGATGCATCTGCGTCTGCTAAGGAAGCTGGCAGATGTGATCACCGAACTGCTCTCTATCATCTTGGAAAGGTCCTGGAGAATGGGTGAGGTGCCTGAAGACTGGGGGATAGCCAGTGTCACTCCCGTCTTCAAGAAGGGCAGGAAGGAGGATCCAGGAAACTACAGGCCAGTCAGTCTCACCTCTGTCCCTGGAAAGGTATTGGAGCAGCTTGTTCTGGATGCCATCTCCAAGCAATTGGAAGAGAAGAATGTTATGAGGAGTAGTCAGCATGGATTCACCAAGGGGAAGTCGTGCTCGACCAACCTCGTTGCCTTCTATGATGGCATCACCAGCTGGGTAGATGGGGGGAGAGCAGTGAATGTCATCCAACATGACTTTAGCAAGACGTTCGATACTGTCTCCCATGACATCCTACTAGCAAAACTGAGAAATTGTGGGACAGATGAGTGGACGGCAAGGTGGGTTGAGAACTGGCTGACTGGCCAAGCTCAGAGTGTTGTGATCGGCAGAGCAGAGTCTGGCTGGAGGCCTGTGACTAGTGGTGTTCCCCAGGGGTCAGTGCTGGGTCCGGTCTCGTTCAAATCTTCATCGACGACCTTGATGAGGGAATACTGTCTGCCCTCTGCAAGTACGCTGATGACACAAAGCTGGGAGGAGTGGCTGACATGCCAGAAGGCTGTGCTGCCATTCAGCGAGACCTGGACCAGCTGGAGAGATGGGCAAGAAGAAACCAAATGAAGTTTAACAAGAGCAAGTGTAGAGTCCTGCACCTGGGAAGGAACAACCCGAAGTATCAGTACAGGCTGGGGGACGACCTGCTGGAGAGGAGCTCTGAGGAGAAGGACCTGGGGGTCCTGGTGGACGACAGGTTGACCATGAGCCAGCACTGTGCCCTGGTGGCCAAGAGGGCCAATGGGATCCTGGCGTGCATTAAAAGGAGCGTGGCCAGCAGGTCAAGGGAGGTGATCCTCCCCCTCTACTCAGCCCTGGTCAGGCCTCACCTGGAGTACTGCGTCCAGTTCTGGGCTCCCCAGTACAAAAAAAGACAAGGATCTCCTGGAAAGAGTCCAGCAGAGGGCCACAATGACGATATGGGGCCTGGAGCATGTTCCTTATGAAGGAAGGTTGAGAGACCTGGGTCTGTTCATCCTGGAGAAGAAAAGACCGAGAGGGGATCTCCTCAGTGTATATAAATATCTGAGGTGTGGGGGATGGAAGGATGTAGCCAACCTCTTCTCAGTGGTTTGTGGGGATAGGACAAGGGGCAATGGCTGCAAGTTAGAGCACAGGAAGTTTCGCACTGACATGCAAAAGAACTTCTTCAGGGTGAGGGTGGCGGAGCACTGGAACAGGCTGCCTAGGGAGATTGTGGAGTCTCCTTCCCTGGAGATATTCAAGGCCGGTCTGGACGCCTACCTGGGCAGCCTGCTCTAAGAAACCTGCTTTGGCAGGGGGGTTGGACCTGATGATCTTTCAACTTCCCTTAAAACCCCTACAGTTCTCTGATTCTGTGATATAATGGATCAATGACACATTAATAAACAGCTATGGGTTTCTAAACAGCTTCCTGCAACTACCCCCCCCAGAACTCCAGACCCCACATGTGATCATTCTCACACTTGCACAAGCTCCTGACCCTGCCCTCGCTCCTGCGGTGGGAAGTGCAGCTTACGAGAACACATCCTCTTTTCTGGGTGTGTGGGTTCCCCTGTTTACAGGGGCTTCCTGCTGCTGGTGGTCTGTGTCCACACCACTTCATGCAGTCTGCTGACCCACAGGCTGCTGAGGAAGCTCAAGGGCACATGCATCTGCTGAAGCTGTCGGTGTGTACTTGCTGTGCCCCTTACTGTCAGGAATGACAGCTGAATGCCTGCCCATGGCATCCAACTCTGCTTATAGATGCTCCAACCTGGCAGAGTTGCCAGGGTCTCTCGTGCCTGTCCTTGAACCACTGAAGACAGTGGAACTTGGTTTTACGAAGGTCATTGCTAGGAAATGCTAGTTAGAGGCCCCGGAGAATCTTGAGTCTTCTTTCCCAGACCCTCGCAGTACAGACAAGAGCCAACAAGAACAGCACGGATACAACAAGATCAGTGGGATGTGGAGAGAAGAAAATACTGCAGCAACAGGGGTCTTGTGTGACCTTGCAATCTAGGGTGCAGCTACTGGATACTCAATGACTAAGCCTAGCTCCTGGAGGGATCCATGCTGCATATACGTAAGCGTGTATTTTCTGCTAACAAGCTTTCACCCTGAGCAGCCAGAGAGGGCAGTAGGGTGAGGCTGCTGGTGCTGATTGTGTAAGTGCTTTTCAGCAGTGCACATCTGTCTGTCTGCATGCTATGCATACTTGTACCTGTATACGTACACGCTGTGTGAATGTGTGCAGCTGTGCCTGTTTGGTGTACACACTCAGCCTCGCTACAGCCTGGCCCTAGGGACATGGCAATGCAGCTGCCTTGCGTCTGCTGGGCTATGGCATTCGGCAGCTTCTGCCACCACCCACACAACGACTCCCATGGATACGTTTAGGAAGCCAACTCTCTTGGTCAGCCACCTTTTCTCCAGTACAAATTCTCCCCTGCACTGGGACACAGAGGGACGGCTCACGTTATAGGTAGGACAGAACAACACAGCCAGGAGATGCACATCGGCGCTGCACGGGGAACTGGCACGGTTTGTTTGGGAGCACCGAGGCAGGTGATGCTTCCCGAGGCAAACAGAGGTGGGGGCATAGGGACCAGGAAACAGAAAGGGGTGGAGAAGGATGGGAGCCACAGGGGCACACGGTCTGCAGCAAGACTCGGGTGGAAGTGAAGGCAATATGCATTGCACTTCTGGAGGGGCCCTCACGCGCAGCAACCGCCCTGCCTCTCCCTGCATCTTCCCCAGCATCATCCAGCCTGGGCAGGTGTGCCCTGACAGGGCCCACTGAGGTGCCAGCCTCCCAGGACGCCCGCTGCATCTGTTGAATCCAGGATTAGCTCTGAGGTGGGAAAGGAGACCAAAGGACCTAATTATTTTGCTGCTGGGGCCATGTCCTCATACCTGGTCAACCATGTGCAGGCTAGACTCCTGGCACACGCTCCTGTTTCTCTCTCAGGTAAGACCTTCAGCATGGCAACATATGAAAACCCCACAGCTGGTTTCCTGTGCCCGGTCTCTCCCAGAGCCCTGGCTGTGTGCGACAGGACCGTTACACACAGGTTATCTCTGAAGAGTTAAGACTCACTGGGTGTATGCAACTTCTACTGCAGTAGTCATCTCTGGCTCTTTGCTGGCACAGCAACAGGCTTGGTATGAAGCACGTGAATGTGCAAAATAGCTTAGAGAGGGAAAGGGAAAGAGAGAGAGGGTGAGTGAGCCCAGAGCCTTTTTTATCGGTGTAATATTGTATTTTCTGCTTTACAGGAAATCAGTATTTGTTCAGCAAAACCAATGCTGAACAGGACTCTCTATGACCCAGCAAGGAGCAGACACCTCTTCTCAGGGAGACAAAGGGAACAGCAGCTCTGAGCATCCTTCTTGCATTCCTGCATTTTCTTCCTTCAGGAGAGCTCCAGCTCTTTTCAGCCAGCAGCTGCCAGACCCACACAGAGAGAAGAGGATGACTGACAGAAGAGCCCAGGAACTGCTCTGATGACCCTGAACCCTCGTGTGTCCATCCCATGGAGGCAATGGCATTGAAAGAAAGGCATTGGCCCATTTCCCAGACATGACCTTCACCTGCCATGCTTGCCTGGAGCTTCCATTGCCAAATCTGTCTTCACCGACCGTGGGATGGGATGGTCAGCCTGAGAAAGCACAGGCAGAGTTCTTCTAGCATTTATTGTTTCCACTTCATAGTACTTTCAGAAATGCACAAGCACAGGGGATGCTGGGTGCAGAGCAACATCACTCCCAGTCTCACCATCCCACCCAGCAGAGGGAAGATAAAGGCTCCAAGGCTCTCCTACCCCTCCCAACACAGCCCTCTGCTGTTCCCAGTTCACTGCTAATCTCAGGATGAGGATTCCTCCATCATAGAGTTGCTGCTGCAGTTTCACAAATCCGAGAAGAACGGGTTGTGCATGGGACATCATTCCAGTTCTGGAGATTTCCTGCTTTGTGATGGATTACTACGCACAGCTCATTAGAGTCATTACTTGGCTCCCCAGACCTCCAGAACCTGAGAGAGAGACAGACATGTTACTCCCTGTGCACCCTGCAAGCACCTTGCTGGAAGAGGCCACGCCTGGAATACAAGGCTTGGAGGGGAGACAGTCCAGATGCAGTTTGATGGACAGAAGTCGTACCCTTCCTCGCACTCTGCTAATCCCACTGGCAGCAGTCTTACATGCAAACCTGACTTCTTCCTAGAACCAACACAGCAGGGAGCTGTTCAGTCCTGGTGGGCAGAGCTGCTCACCACAGCTCACCCCAGGCACTTCACAGCCAGCAGGGGATGCGTCTCTTCCAGAAGAAACATCTGCAAGAAAAGCCCTGGTGATCTCTCCAGCATCCCATCGCTTCTGCAGCATCACAGCACTGGCCCAGCGTGTGCCTACACCTGCACACCTACAGGAACATAGACCATGTGCCTACACCTGCACATGTGTGTGGTGGGGCAGTACGGACGTCAGGCAAGGCTTGTCCTGTAAGAATTCATGTATTTCTCATCACGAAATGCAACTTATTCTCTGCCTACAGCACCCATGGCCATGTCACAGATAATTTATCGCTAACCACTAACCAGCATGGATGGATCTGTAGGAACCTGGTATCCTACAAAGCCCTTGCCGGCTCCATCATTGTCCTCTCACAGACAGCCATGGCATATCCCTCCCATGCTCATCAGACACCCTCACATCTCTTCCACCCTCTTGCACTACCCAGAGCCACACCAAACCCTCTCCGTCATGGGATACTCACGCTGCTGATTTATTATAGGGAGTCTGGTCTGCCCAGCGCCACTGGCCCACCTCCTGTGCCCTCAGACCAATGTAGAAATCGTGTCTCTTTTGTTGGTATTTCACCTGTCTTCCTATTTCCTTATTGATGAAAGCCTGGAAATGAGGGAGAGTACAACGTCCATGAAGTTCAGGACTGAAGAGAGGGAGGTGGCAGGAGTCCCAGTGGGGTGGAGCTGGTGGCAGTCTGGAGCCAGTGCTGAGTACATGCAGCAAGGACATCCCCCCTCCACTGCAGGAGCCAGGAGGGGCTCTGAGGCCCCTCCAGGCCTGGCACTCCTGTCTCCAGGCTGCTCTGGCCCTCTCCCAGCCCTGCACTTACCTGCTCTGCTTCTGTATTGATCACCACCAGCTGGGAGCCCATCCCACTGCAGTTCTGCTGGCTCTCATCCCAGGGCATCTGATTATCTGAGAAGAAATAGCAGCTTTCCTGAAAGGGTCTCCAGCCCTCTGGACAGCACTTCAAGTCTCGCCCTGTGCAGGGAGAGACCACGGAGCATGAATGCTAATAAAGAGAGAGATCATCACTGCAAAGACCCCCTGTTCTCCAGGGACAATGCTCATATTCTAACTTAGATCTTTTCTTTCTTTCTTTCTTTCTTTCTTTCTTTCTTTCTTTCTTTCTTTCTTCTTCTCTCTCTCTCTCTCTCTCTCTCTTTCTTTTCCTTCCTTCCTTCCTTCCTTCCTTCCTTCCTTCCTTCCTTCCTTCCTTCCTTCTATAAATTTTTGGAAGAAAAAACACCCACAAGTATAATGCAGGTATTTCTTCAAATTGTTCTGAGGTATGATCAGAAGAGAGCTCTGTGTACACAAGTCCATGGTAATCCTTGTACCGTGCTCTCAGGTCTTGCCTTGACAAAGACAAAGCCATTCTGGTGATCTGTTTTGACTCCTCCTTGTACAGTCTCCCATAGGATTGTAGGTGCAGCAGCAGGGAATATTGCTTGTTTTTCTGAAGAGAGTTGCACTTTTATTATTGCTCCATTATTAATCTTCCCTGCACCACTGTATGATACTATACATTTTGTCCTTGTCAGTGTGTTCACACCCACCCTGCCCTCCCAGGACACTCTTAACATGGACCTATCCTCCCCCTAAGCTGCTAGCAGGAAATCCTTTTTCTCTCTCTCCCACATCTCTCCTCTGGAGCCTGCTCCTGTTGCTGCTTGCTGTGAGAGCAGACCCCAGCAATCACCATACTCATAACAAAGACCTCCTGCATCCTTGCCAGCATGACTGACCTTTGCCTTGATGCACCGCCAAGATGCAGTGCAACTCTGTGTGGTTCCCCTGCAGGGCTGCGGGCTTGTCACAGCTCTGGGAGACGTGAGTGACTGGAAAGGGAGAGAAAAGAAGGCAGGGTTACCACTTTCTCCGTGCTTCTCCCACACCGTTTTGTGCTTCACTTTTTTATGCATTTCCCCACCAAGTGCTGACTCAGCATCACTGCTCCTCTGGCTCTCCCTTTCAGGTTCTCAAGAGGTAACTGACATTCTGTCAGGGAAGAGGAACAAGCCTTTCTGCTCCCAGCCACCCACAGCTGCCTGCAAGGGTCCTCCACTCAGTGACTGACAATTTCTAGCCAGGATGACCTAGTCAACAAAGCTAGGGAAGCCTGGGACCCACCTGAGCAGTCCCAGGTGGCTGTGGCAAGCCAGTGGTTTGTTACTGGAGTCTGTCCCAGCACTGAGCAGATGCCCTCAGGCTTCCTTGGATGCCATGGAGCTGAAGGTGTGGGGTGGTATACTTGGGAATTGCTATTTGGCTCATGGGGAATAACATAGTGGTGGTGGCTGGTGTCAGCAGGCCATGTTCACAGCCCAAAGGACTGTGGAGTTGTCACCAACTCAAACACTCAGGGATATTGATAATATAGATAACATTGGCAATAGAGATGTCTATTTTCATCAGCTGTGTCATTTAGAAATAGTGGTACTAATGAGGAGGGAAGAGTAATCACAGTGACCCCTGTGAGTGATCAGTGATCTCCTATAATGGACGAAAGCTCAGAAGAGCTGGGCAGGGGCAATTACAAAGCTCGGGGAAGAATGTATGCAGTGACTGACCACAGCTGTTGCAATGAAAGAGGACCTTATCTCAGCACAAATGGGACCAAGGAGTGGGCTTTGCCCTAGTTAGCTGAGTGAATCAACCAGTTATATCAGCTGAGTGAATTGACCAGCTGTGTAACTGTACATCCCTCAGAAGATCAAAACGATGGCAATAATCTCCTAAATTAGCCAGACTGGCATGGGATGAAGGTATGTATGCTTTCAGCCCAAAACAGCATAGGAAACTGAACAACAAAAACAACTCGGAGGAGAGCAATGAGCCTGAGCTGGCTTTAACCCACATATTCCTTTTTGGTTGCTGGGGATACTCAGCGTTGCAGTGGCGGACAGATTGCAGGGATTGGTAATGGGGTCACATTTATATTGTGATTCAACAGTGCATTGCAATTGCTACTCTTTTCTACTTGTGATTTGTACTCATATTTTGATTAAATACATTGTTGTGTCCCTCTGCTATATCAAAATCATATGTAACATTGATTAACTTCAATTAACTTCAAACATCTTGTGTAAACATGCCATGAATGATCCTTAGCAGAAAATGAGATTGAACCAGTGATCATAATCTCCAGTACGTGTGCAAGAATCATTTTTTATGAACTATTCCAGTGAAACGCCAAAAACACTTAAAAGGGGTGTGAGTTTGCAAGTGTGCAGTTAGGCCTGCAGATGCAGCTAGACTTGCTGCACAACAGTTCTGTGCACAGGCAACAAGTATACAGAAGGGGAACTGTGAACGCAATGGAGAAATTCAAATGTGAGCCTCTGAGGTTGCCCATAGGCTAAGAAGAATGAAGAAAGAGGTAGGGGAAGAAGGTGAAGAAAGTTGTCCAGAGGTGAGGCTTCCTGAAGGCTTACAGGGTAATAAGAAATATCTTTCTCCAACCACAACCCCGTAAAAACTCCCTGATGATAGAGTTTGCACCCTTTTTCATGAGAACACAGTTCCTGAGTAAAATCTCCCTTCTGATTGGAAGAAGTTCCCTTCTGCTGACAGACTTCTCCACCCTTATCCCAGCATGTCCCCCAAGCCTCTCTCCCGACTCCTGGTCACCAGCCTGCACATACTCACCTAGGAGAACAACAAGGGCAACGCACACCAGGAGCAGGAGCAGTGAGATCAGCCACGGGAGCCATGGAGGGCATGTCTGCGTATGTTGCTCATGCTGCTGCTGCTTCTTCTGAGGTACTACAGGTGAAGGAGTGCACCAAACACAACAGCACAGTCAAATATACAGCACAGCCCACATACCAATGGTGTACAACTCAAGGAAGAACTGCTCTAAAAAATGCAATTTCAGTTCTGATGTCAGGTTACACAGTTTGAGAGAGGAGCAGATTTCTGCAGCAGGTCAGGTTTCTGGAGCAGGTTAGGTTTCTGGAGATGGTCAGGTTCAGCACCAGTGTCCACAGCCCCAGTGATTCCTGTGAGCTAGCAGTAGTAATTGCTACCAATGCTAATTGCTAGCAATGGGGGATGAGTTCTTCACATGGCCTCAAAGTCTGGATTGAAGCCATGTGTCTCCAAATTGACCTCAGAGCTAGTGAATGCAACATTGCTCTTACCATGGTATTTGAGACATTCACATGAAGATTTCATGCAAATTTCTCCACAGAATATGTTTTATACCTACTTTTTCAGCTTTCTGGACTTTATGTGTATGGGAAGGCTGGTGTAAGCTGAACAAGAGCAAGGAATTAAAAATGTACAAAGGTATGATGGTACAGAATCAACAGAAGAGGAAAAAAAATACTTCCTAGGAAAAGCCCCTTCCCTCTCTGGTTTCCAAGCCAGGGTTCAGAGATTTTCTGTGGTAAAACTTGTCTGTGCCAGGCTGGGTGCCTGCGAGAACAGAGGTAGAGTGTCCAGCAGCCTGCATGAAGTATCCCACTCAGATTCACTCTAGCTGGAACCTGACTTTTGCCTAGACAGACACTGCTGTACGAAGTGCCAAGGAGGTTTGGAAGTAGACAGGAGAATGGGTCACAGGGAAGGAGAAGCAAACACTTGTTAGGAGACAGTTTTAGGCTGCAGCAAGTACATGAGCCAGGACAAACAGGAGGGTGAAGAGACAGCAGCACTCACTGCAGGACAGGAGTGAAGAAGTTTCTGAAGAGACTGATATTAACGATAAGCTTAGAGAGACCTCATTCACTGTTCATCATGAAACTCCCAAGTCTGCCAGCCACCACTTGTGCCTGCCAGACATGATGAGTGAGCAAGACTTTCAGAAACTGCTGTTCAAGGAAGCGCTCTGACTACTTCCCAAAGGCTTGGGGGAGGCTGTAACAGCAGGGGGAAAACCATCATCTTTCATTATAAAAAAAAAAAAAACATTCACAGGCAGTCAGGACTCAGATTTCCCTGGATGAATCATGTGTTTCCAGCCAGATTATGCCTGTGCTGAAAACAGGGACCTGGATCGTGACCTGGAATCCAGCCGTTACTCATGCCTCAGGGCAAGGAATAATCTGGAGCTGGTGCCTGTTGTAAGATGGAGGTAAAGATGTAAATGGACAATTTAATATCCTTAGTAGCAGGAATAGTTTGTTTATTTATTTATTCATTCATTTATATATATATATACTTTCACCACTTTTGTGTAGGGTCCTGTACCTAATGGTGGAAGCAATGAGACAAGCACAGACTATCCACACCTCTGTGTATTCCTACTTGTGACATAATGAGTGCAGTATGCACACTGATGTGGACATGCCTTGAATTTTCACAAAGCCTAGTAAATTCACTGCTTTATAACCATTATTTTTTAAATAGCAATAAAAATGTGTTTGGTGTGTTAGTTATTTTTCAGGAGCGGTAGATATGGATCTTCCTCCAGATCTTAGATAATTCTTCCCCTGTGTATTTCAATGTGTTTTGTTCAAGCCCATCTCTCCTATTAACTTTTAAGTCTGTCTTGTCCATGGACCATTTCTCAATAAACAAAGGGCCATGGGGCTGTATGTTTCTGCAGCCAGTGCCACCTCTCAAAACGATGTGGAGGGCAAGTGCCCACTCTACATCTTTCTCTAATGCTCTCTACACAGGCAAAAATCTGCAGCTTCATTTTGTCAGAAGGAAGAGCAGTAGCAGCCAGGGGTTGGACAAATTTGCTGCTATTCACTGATATGGAAGCCCCTCCATATTTGTAACAGATCAGATTGTCTGTAATAAACCACCGTCTCTATTGTTGGTACTAGATATTTGTCCAAAAACAACTTTCTCATTCAAGACATGACTAGATAACATGTAAAGAAGCAGCTACCACCTGCACCATACCAGGGTTAAGTACTACTACTGTGCAGCACCCATCCTGGACTCTCACTCATTGGTGTTGCAACCAGTGCACTAAGGGAGCCCAAATACTTTACCAAATGCTCACCTGACATCTACTGCTGCGTTCTCAGTAGTCATCCTTACTCATGCTGCAAATTTGACTACCTAACAATTCCCACTTCCCCTCTTGTAGACATTCCTTTAGCATCTTACTTTAAAATTCCTTTAGTCTCCTGCTCTTGTAGTGGCAGATATCTCCTCTGTCTCATCAATTTGTCAAACTATGAGCCAGAGTCCCAGAAGGAAAAACCTCTGTTTCCTGTTCTTCAGTCCACCTCCTTCTGAGGTCCCATTCCCCTTAAAAAAGGACCAATTCCTTACCTTCAACCTCTTCAGTTGGTGATGCATTCTTGAACTTCACTTCGGCATAGGTGATTTCTGCTTCCATTTAATCACAGTGTGCTCACCAATCCCCGTTTTTGGTTTTGTGATATAAAAGCTTGGCCCTTTAGGTCCCTGGATCCAGAGGAAGACACCACTGAGTTGCTGAACCTTTTCTATTGCTCATTCATCCTTTGGCTGTCAAAGGCATCCATGCTGAACACTGGAAGCACTGGCAAAAACATGAGAAGTGCTGAGAGCTCAGAACTACTCTAAACAAATCTTTGGGTTTTTTTTAGCCCAGAAAATCAGCCCGGCACTATGAGAAAGAAAAGAAAAATGAGAACTTAGTGACTGAGAAGGAAGTTGCACTCCTCCTTCCTCAAATTCCAGTCTCAGTTTCTAGCTGATAGGTTTCCTGTTAAGATCTGCTGTTTCTTCCTTTGTCATGTTTCTTTCTCTCTCTCTCTTTTTTTTTTTTCCTTTTTTTTTTTTTCTTTTTAAGATTTATTTCCCTTGCTTATCTTTATGTTTTGCTTTGTTTGTCTGTTAGTAATTCTATATTTTATTTTAGGTTTGCAGCTAGTACAGGTCTTAGCCCAGTTTAACCTGCAACACAGTGAGATGTAAGATGTTTTCTGCCCTCAGTTATGTCTTGTGGTTAAGCTGCACTTGCTACATCAAAAATTCCATTTCTTGCCTCATCCTGGGAAGTCACCCACAACTGGCAGCTAGCACTAGAATAAATCTCAAATGAACTGTTCCTATAGAGGAGAGACTGGGAGTTGCAGCCTCTACAAAGAGGAATGGACAACAATCAAAAGTTTGAAGTATCAACGGAGAAACAGAGAAGGTCTTAGAAGTATGTGGGGACAAGAAAAGTAAGGTTCTTTTTAGAAGTGATAATGTTTTGAGAAGTTACTGGGCAGAGCAAAGACAGATAACACTATCACAACCGGATATACAGCCTGTGGAAGTGCAAAGCAGTGCTCGCTTCAGGGGATTAGACTCCAGTTCAGAGGTTAAAAAGGGCTTGTTTATATTGTTATATTAGACTCCACCACTGTCATTTGTGTCCATTTACCTTCTATTACATTGGGGCAGAATGGTCAGGTTACTGTTTAGTCTGATTTTAAGCTGGGGCAGTGGATGGGGGGAGCTAATTAAGGGAGATGGCTGCTGAAGTATATGCTGAATCAGAAAGATTTCTGAGAAGAAATGCAAATGACTCAGGATGCTCTGGAAAAAAAAAATGGTCAGAAGGTCAGCAGATATGAGCAGGAATAAGCCTGAAGGATGAAGAAGGAAGGTTCGCCTGGTTAGTCAGGCTGATAGCAAGTTTCTCAAACCAGGCTAGAAAGATGTGCTAGCATTCAGGGGGTTAGCGTGGAGGGCACACAGCATAGAGGTGGAGGATAGACAAGGCAGTGCAAAGAAGAACAACGGAGAAGAACAATGTGGGAGAAGGTAAAGGGCAAGGGAGTCATGTAGTGGACATTTTAACAAATTATGGAGAAATACTGCCCCTAAACAGAATGGGGCATACATAGATTGATTTCTTTACCAGGGAATTTCCTTTCCATCAGTTTCTGGAAAATCATCATGTCTTGTGTGCATTGAGCTAGTTTCACTTCTCCTTTTTCTATCGTGTGCAAAGACAGTGACTTTTCCATTATACAACAAGAAAAGCAGATGCAGGACAGCCTGGCCCCTTGAGATGTTCTTTGCTGCCTGCTTTTCTTCCTAACATCCTCTCACTTCTTTTCTTTGTCTTCATTCTGGGCCCTGCTGTTGCACTTATGTACACCTAAATGGTTGCTCTCAAATTTCATGTCAAGATTTCATAGAACGGTTTGCATTGGAAGAGACCCTAAAGACCACCCAGGTCCAACCTCTCTGCCATGGTAAGGGACACCTCCCACCAGCCCAGGTTGCTCAAAGCCCCATCCCGCCTGGCCTTGTACACCTCCAGGGATGGGGCATCCACAGCTGCTCTGGGCAACCTGTTCCAGTGCCTCACCACCCTCATAGAAAAGAATTTCTTCCTTATATCTAATCGAAACCTACCCTCCTTTAGTTTAAAGCCATTACTCGTCCTATCACTACACTCCCTGACAATGAGTCCCTCCGCAGTAATCCTCTGCCTGCTCCTTATCCCCACCCAAGCTGCAACAGAATCACTGTTTCTAGGGGAAAAAGGCTTACTTCCTGGAAGGGTTTTAAGCTGTCCAAAAAAAGTGGGAAATATGATCAGCAGACAAAGAAAAAAGTTACAGTGTCGCTTCATGAGCGTTTTTGAGCCTGAAACACAACTCCAAGCACAGCTGACGCATTTCAGATATAAATTCAGGATCTAGTTCTTGTGCTTATTAGGACACACTGGATTTTACCCAGACATCAGAAGATGACTCAAATGTGCCTGCTCAGCCATCAAAGAAAAAGAAAAAGAAAAAGAAAAAGAAAAAGAAAAAGAAAAAGAAAAAGAAAAAGAAAAAGAAAAAGAAAAAGAAAAAGAAAAAGAAAAAGAAAAAAAGAAAGAAAAAGAAAGAAAAAGAAAAAAAGAAAAAAAGAAAGAAGAAAAGTCAGTTAATTCTGCTCTCTGCAGAAAAAATGAAGCCTAATTAATATTGTACTAACCAGTCTGAAACCTTAGTAAAACAAACAAACAAAAAAGCAAAACCTTTTATTTCCCTTCCATTCCCCATCGTGTTCTGCCCTTCCCTTTCCACCTATGTTCCCCACCCCAGTACACCCAGGTCCTCCCACAATATCTGTATTTTCCCAAAGACTTCTTTCATCTTAGCCCCACTCAGAAGTTCAAGGTACCTCCCACACTCCTAACTCCCACATACCCCTAAGTCCCAGCTCCTTCCTATCTGGTTTGCTCACCACAAAACCTTATCCTTTCTGAGGCTGTTGACTTGATGTAGTTGCTCTGGAGCCACGTGAGCACCCACACAGAAGGCAGCAAAAGCACTAATGCTCTTTCTCATTTACCTCTCAATGAAATTTGAGTAAGGTAGTATGTGCAACCTTTCACCTCACAGCCAATTTCACCCAACTTAACAAGAAGGTCTGCTTAACAGCAGAGAAGACAGGACTCATTGCATGTGCCTTATTTCTTTTGAAAATCAAATTGATCCAGTTGGACAAAATTTTAATTCACTGAACAAAGAGGATTTGGAATCCTAAAGCTGTGATCCCACACTTCCCCACAAAAAAAATCCCTTTTGAAGTTGAGCACAACTGTGGTGAAAACTGCAAGTAAGACATTTGTTACAGTGTGGTTAGAACTTGAGGGGGTCAGCTGAGGGAACTAAGTTACCACGGGTAACTTATATCACAGGCACATCACACTGACAGCCCAAAGCCAATACATAAAATCACAGAATCATGGAATCACAAAATGGCTTGGGTTGCAAGGGACCTCAAGGACCATCTAGTTCCAACCCCCCAAGTTATAGGCAGGGATGCCACCCACTAGATCAGGTTTGCCAGGGCCCCATCCAGCCTGGTCTTGAACACCTCCAGAGGTGGGGCATCCACACCCTCTGTGGGCTACCTGTTCCAGTGCCTCGCCACCCTCTGAGTGAAGAAATACCTAGCACCTCAGAAGATTTGACAAAAGCAAAAGGAAGCTGACAGATCCAGGGGAATTATCAGTATGCATTCTTCAGTAAGCTGACCTTGCATACAAATGAAAAAAGTTGAAAGTAGCATGACCTCCGTGTAAAACCACAACAAGCAGAACTAGAAATCAGGACTGGCAATAAATCCTTTCCCACAGACACTAGGAGCAGAAAGCTTTTCACAGGTTTGAGGTTAAATGGAGATCAGGGTATAAAAAGAACAGTCAAAGAGAACAAGGACATTGAAACAAAGTTAAATGAATTATTTGCAACAGCAATGGCAGTGGAAGAAACTGGAGAAAGTACCACAAAAGAGACCTGGTTTGGGGGGACTGAACCAAAATACCTGTCCAAAAGAAAAGTGATTTTGAAAAAGTCATGGAATTAGTAGGTATGGACAAGATAATCCCAGGGGTTTCCAAGAAACTCAGAAGTGAAACAGATGCTAATGGGAGTGGTTGATCTTTTGCTTTAAACTACCTTTTAATAAATAAATTACAGGATGGCAAAAAAAACATGCCAAAGGGGAACAAAAAGTCTAGGGAGACTTAGGAAACAAAGTTTTAATATCTGTAGTGGCCAAGTTAATAAAAATCATTAGAAAATAATAAAATTAACATAAATATATGTAAGTATGACCTACTTGGTAAGAATCAACATAACCTTTTTAAAGAGAAATCCTGCCTCTCATAGTTCTTTGAAGGGGTCAATGTCATATGAATAAGAATAATCTGGCTACTTGGATTTCAGGGGACTTACAGTGAAATTCCTCAGCAAATATTTCTAAGGAAAATAGACAGCTACAGGATAAGGAAGCAGATCTTTTTAACAGGGAGCAAACAGCAAATGTGGGTAGGAATAAATGGTCAGTTCCCTCAGAGGAGAGAAAGCACCTACAGAATTCTTACAAGGTCTGTAACAGGACACGTGCTAACATTTCCTTAAACAAAGTGGCAAAGAGGAATGAGATTACAAAGTCTGCTGATGATACCAAGTTATTTGGGGCAGTAAAAGTAAGAGCCAGTTGCAAAGAATGACAGAAGGATGAGACCGAGTGACAGGGTGATAAAAGGGAAGAGAGAATCCAGAGTGGGTAAGCAATGCACTTTAGGGAAATGGGTAGTGAAACAATGCACTTTAGGAACAACCTCAACCCTAACTTCACACACAAAATGATGGGCTGAGGTGATTAATGCCACTCAAAGAAAAACTTATCAAAAATAATTTCAGAGGCAGACAAAAAAGTAAATCAAACACCAGGAATAGTGAAGAAAAAAAGCATAAAGATCCTCTTGGTCCTCCCTCCCTTCCCCAAGTCACCTCAGTACCTAGCTCTTTTCCTAGGGCAGAATTAGAGAGAAGAAAGGGAGATAAAAGTTTTGGACTCAAGGGAAGTGCATAAAATGCCAGTGAAACATGGGGAGTGAGGCAGAGCATAGAGCAGCTAGTAAGGGATGACAGATATCTAATTAAAGAGAGTCAGGCAATGGGATCTCCAGAGGGATTTGGACATGGTTTAGTGGTTGATTTTGGTGGTAGGGGCATGGTAGGACCAGATGGTCTTGGAGGTCTTTTCCAGCCTTAATGATTCTATGATTCTATGTTTCGGCTATATAGAGGAGCTCTAGCAATAGGCAATCCCATTGTCTACCAGGCTGCATGGAAGAGGCAGTATGCTGAAATTCTTACTGCAGAGGAGCCAAATTCCTCCAGCTCTTGGGTACCATGTGAGAGCAGTGCAGTCTGCTGGGATCTGACAAAGAGCCACCGCATGCCCTCCTATAACATGGC